TGAGAGAGTTGTTCATGCCCACACCAGCCTAGAGCCATGCCAAGTCCCAGGCTCTCCTGAATTTCAGCTCAGAGTTTCCTTTATTGATGCCTCCAGTGTTTTCAGAGAGAGGCAAACCATTTTCTTTCCTGATAAAGAGAGTCCTCCAAAGCACCTCTTGTGGTATTCACCCTAAAGGACCATCAGTGATCTTGCTCTCGCGTGCCTGCTGATGACAAATTGGAAGATGCCAGCCTCTTAGAATCCAGCAGTGTACTGGCATGAACGGAATAAACACAAGGCAGGACTCTTTTCCTCCTGTAATTAGAAATGCAGAAAGAATCTTTCTTTCTTCTTTATTTCTCAGTATCTATCATTAAGGTGAGACAAGTGCTCTATAACATTCAGGGAAATGAGCCAGTTATTCAGGTATTTCATGGAAAATGCGTTTCTTTAGCTTGAGCAACTCACCTCCTTAGCTGCTTCCCACTTTCACTCAACTGACGCCTCTGGCGGTAGACAGGCTTTCTGTGTTGCCTGATGAAAACATGGCAAAAAGGAGAATGTGTAAGGATTTTTCTGTGTATTCATTGTTAATACTTCTGGTAGAAAGTACACAGAGTTCTCTACTGGGGCTGAGAGCTGCTGAAGCCCATCCAAGCCTGGACAGCATAGCCACAGGCCACGTGCTGCCTCGCACAGTGGATCCGTGGGCAACACATGAACCGTGGGGCCTGACTGGCTGAGTCCTAGTTCTGCTCTCCAAATTCCGAGCAGCCCAGGTCTGGATGATTAACCTCTTCCATGATCCTACAAATAAGATTCCATTTTTCTACAAGTCAAGACTTTAATAGTGCTTATTATTTCATAGGGTTTTCATGAAAATTCAATAAGTTACTATATCTAAGTGCTTAGTCCAATGTCTGGCACATAATTATACCAGGTAATGAGTTTTACTATTATTGTCATTTACTGAATTTGGCTCTCAAGTAAGTGTTTTTACAAGAGAAAGGTTGAGTTCTTCATTTAAAGGGTGTGCTTGTATTCTGCATTTTGTCAGAAAACAACAGGTACAGATTTCCTGGGGCTGGAATGAATACAGTGAGTTTGAGTCCAATTGAGGTGTGAGTATGGGCCAGGACTGGGGGGAGGGTTGGGGGCTTACTGGAGGAAATAAATTATTAGGACTTTTTAGGACATGGTTGCTGTTCAGTCACTCAGTGGTGTCCGACTCTTTGGAACCCCAAGGACTGCAGCACACCAGGCTTCCCTGGCCTTCACTATCTCTTGGGAGTTTGCATAAACTCATGTTCGTTGAGTCAGTGAGATCTTCCAGCCATCTCATCCTCTGTCACCCCCTTTTCCTCCTGCCCTCAACCTTTCCCATCAGAATCTTTTCCAGTGAGTCAGCTCTTCACATCAAGTGGTCAAAGTCCTAGAGCTTCAGCTTCAGTACTAGTCCTTCTAATGAATATTCAGGGTTGATTTCCTTTAGGATTGACTGGTCTGATCTTGTAGGGCAGGATAGGGAAGTGGAATTTTATTCAAGGCCACTGAAGAGTTTTGAGCAGAAGTGTGATATTATCTGATTAGATCTTTACATGACTGCACTGGCTGATGTGTGGAGAACGGATTTTAGTGAAGGTGAGGGTAGGTAAATGTTTTCATCCACGAAGGCTTGGGTGTGTTGTAGCCCCCAGTCCTATAAAAAGGCATCACAATTAAGCTCAAAACTTCAACTTAAATAAGGACCACAGGAGATGATTTCTAGGGGTGCCAGGAGTCAACCTCTGTGGTGATTCTGCCTTGGTGATAGGGGGTGAAAGTGAATACAATGAATGAAGATAGAATGTGCTTTTATTTCCAAACATTAAGTGTATTTTGAACCTGACTGTCCCACTGCTTAAAATGCACAGTAGGTTCCTGTATGAAATCTGGGGAAGTGGTTGTGGAGGAGAGAGTGACAGCCTGACATCCAGGGTCATTCACCCCAGAAACAGGTACACTTCCATGGGTACCCACAGACTTCGGAAGAGTATAGCAAGTAAAATGATGAACTGTCTTCTTGGTTTTTATGACAGCTCAATGGAGACTCTGTTATGAACGTCTGGATTTATGTTTGTAGAAATAGTCCTTAAAGCCTCTCTCTATGGTAGCACATGCCTCTGGGGTCATTGGGCCATCGTTCAATGCTGCTGTTTCCAGGAGAGGCACTAGGGTGTCTGGGTTGGACCTGGGGGTATGGGTGGACACCCTGAGTTTGAATCTCCACTTCTCCACTTGTAGCTGAGTTTCTGTAGACTTCTTTACTTCCCTGAGTTTCAGATGCCACATCTATAAAATAAGGATGAGCCTCATGTTTGCCTCAAGTGGTTATGCAGAGATCAAAGAATCAAGTGCCTTTAAGGAACTTAGCACAGTTCCTGGCATGGGGTCAGCACTGCTTGTGGACATGTATTTTTGACTGTGCATTGTGCTCATGTAAAAGTGCCATGTCCCTGCTATTTTTTTTTTAATTTTTCTTTGTCTCTGCTATTTAAAAGGTGGTCCCCAGACCAGCAGCCATACCTTGTGGGAGCTTGTCAGACTCAGAAATTCAGCATCTGAGAGAGTAACATTGACGTATATACACACTACCACGTGTCAAACAGCTTTTGGGAAGCTGCTATATAGCACAGGGAGCTCGTCTCGATGCTCTGTGGTGGGATGGTGGGTGGGTGGGAGGGAAGCTCAAGAGAGAGGATGTATGTATACTTATAGGTGATTCACATCATTATACAGCAGAAACTAACACAACATTGTATAGTAATTATACTCCAATTAAAAATAACTTAAAAAATAAAGGATTAAAAAAAAAGAAACTCAGAACCTTTGGCTTCACTCCCAACCTGTTGAATTAGCTTTAGTGCTTGAGCAAGATCCTGGGTGATTCCAGCAGATGTTTCTGTTCAGAAGCACTGCTCTGGGCAGCTGGATCTGTTTTGATTATGGAAAACTGTTGGCAGCATTATGTTGGTGCAAAAAGACATCAGCCTCATGGCACAAATTATACAGAGACCCTGAAGTAGCTGGGCATTCTTGGGCACTCATGTTGGGGACAAAGGTTTTTCATCTGTAAAGTGATTCATCTGTGTCAGAGACTTGTTGACAATATAAATGAAATAATGTGAAAGCTAATATAATAGAGTGCAAAGTACGTTATTTTTCTCTTGTTTACATAGAAAAAGGACATCATAATCCCTAGAGTTGTCAATACCATTTTCAAAGAATTCGATTCCCCATTTTCCACATCAATTTTCCGGGAGGCAGTGGACAAGACCTATTATTTGGTGTCTCGATTAAAATAATGCAGAGTGACAGTGGCCCAGGAATTTCAGCCTGATATTTTTGGAAAATAATGGGAGAGTTTTGCAGTTTGGCTAAAAAGCATTGCCCTAGAAAAGGCCAGCAGTGCTGTCAATGGGGATGTTTATGCCATTGACAAAGTAATCACGGAATTGCAGTAGACGGCATGAACAGAAGCCAGCGGGGTGCTTCCGGGTGGTGTGGTTCAATGTGACACACGTTTATCAGCCACAAAAGCCTTTTTTTTTATTATTATTATTTCCAAACATCACAACCAAAGCAAGACACAAATTCTATTGTTCACATTAGCATAGATCAAGTACAGAAAGCCTCAGTATATTACAGCACAAGAAAAATACACAGTTGTACACCAAAGACACAGCATAATGTAAGAATTCGTGGAAGAGAGGAAAGTGGGGACAAACAGAAAGTACGGTCTGAAGTCCTCTGGGGTGGAAGGGGATCTGACAGATGCTCGCAGCACACAGCTGTGGCCAGAGCTCATCAGCAAGGCTCACTCTGTTCACAGGAGTGAATCTCTTTACTTGATTCAGTATAGACCTTGACAACAGGGTCACCCAACTTTAACACCATGTCAAACAAAAGGAACCGTGAACCAGAAACCGTCCTCCTTCAAACATCATCACATCACATAGAAAACCTGTGACAGAGACACAGTTCTTATAAGCAAAACAGCTTTCAAAAAAGTCACAGGCAGCTCAGAGTTTAACTCCCTGAAACTACAGTCCAGCAATTTCTTGAGACACATGCCTTCCCACCCACAATTCCCTCTCATGTTTTAAAGACAAAAAGAAATCATAGGAAAAATTTGCCTTTTTAAAATAGGGAAATATATACCTTAAAATAGCAAGGTATCAAAATACTTCATACATGGGTATGTTCTGATTTTCCAAAGCACTTTACCTCTCTTTCATTAGAGTTTTGAAAGATGCCTTGTGTTGAATGCAAACAAACCCAACAACAACAGAAATAATCATAATAGCACAAAATAGTATAACACAACATGCTAACAAAAATAGAAGTGGGTTCCATTTCCATGCTACTTCTGTGGGGGGGTGGGGGGTGGTCAAAGGAGTCAAGAAGAGGGGCAAACAGCATAGCATTACTTCTTCTGCAAGGAGGTCATTGTTTTTAGGAAGTTGTTTTACCATCAACAGAGTAATAGACTAGAAGTCTAGTCTCTTATGAAATGAGAGTAAAGCTATTCAAGCTGGGGGTTGGTAGCTGTAACAGGTTTGCTTGGGGGAGATTCCATCTACCCTTACTGTTACAAATCCTTGAGTCTGTCTGACCTGAAGCATGAAGGAGTGGATGGGAAGCAGGGTGCAGGCAGGGGTCCAAGACCCTGGGTGCATGGAAATGAATGCAGACAGCACTCAGAGCAGCCTCCATGGATTCCCCCCAGGGACTATTTGAGAAATCAGAGCTTGTGACTTACCCACGTAGGCATCCTTTCAGAGAGCCTGTTGTATACCGTTTTGCCCTTTCAACAAAAGGCTCTCTGCAAGCTTAAAAACAAAAAGACACATAGGATCATGACTGGTAACACTTTCTTTTATGTCTTTTAAGTAGTTGTCTGCCTTGTTGCTAAACACCTGGGCCAGCTGGAGGGTGGAAAGTGACCAAACAGAGAACCCTTGCCAGGGCCCCACGTCTTATCCCAAGTTCATGCTGTTGCAGCTACAGAGGATCTCCTTGAAGGTGTTGCGCAGCTCCAGGCTCCGGAAGGCGTAGATCAGCGGGTCGATGACAGAGTTACACATGATGAGGACCAGGTAGGTGTTGAAGTGGGCAGTGTAGCAGACGCAGTAGGGGTTGGTGGGGCAGGTTATTATGAGGATGAGGTGGAGGAAGAAGGGGGCCCAGCAGAAGATGAAGACCCCCAGCAGGATGGTGATGGTGACCGCCCCCTTCATGCAGGAGTGCTGCTGCGGGGCCGCTCCATCAGCCGGTGGCAGCGCGGCGATGCGCTTGACATGCAGCCGGGCGAAGAGGAGCATGTGCACATAGAGGGTGCCCATGAGCAGCAGCATAGCAAGAAACATGGTGACCAGGCACACAATGACCATCTTGCTCTCGGAGTAGACGATGAACACCACACCGCAGATGCCGCAGCCCAGCCAGATGGCCACGATCAGGGCCAGTGCCTTCCTCACGGTCATGATGCTGTGGTAGCGGAGTGCGTAGAAGATGGTGACGTACCTGTCAACAGCAATGGCCAGGAGGTTGCAGATGGAGGCCACCAGGGAGATGCAGATCATGGAGTCGAAGACGTTGTCCATGTGCTGGATGAACTGGTCCTCCAACCTCAGGTAGTCGCTGTTGACCACGGCGATCATGATGGTCTCCAGGGCGTTGGACACGCTCACCAGCATGTCGGCCACGGCCAGGCTGCAGAGGAAGAAGTACATGGGGGAGTGCAGGTTGCCATTCCTGGCCACGGCCAGGATGACCAGGATGTTTTCCAGCAGGCTGATGATGCCCAGGGCCAGGAAGACCTCGGGCTTGATGAAGACCTGCTCACAGAAGCGGCTGCTGCTCTGGTTGCTGAAGGAAGGGGCAGCGACGTGCTCTGAGCTGTTAGGCAGCATTGGTTGAGCTGAGTGCAGACAGCACGAAGCATTCATCGCTCACAGACAGCTGGCTGATTGGAGCGGGGGCTCCAGCAGGGTCCCGAGGCTGTGGCTGCTGCTGCTGCTTTCAGGAAAGAAAAAAAAAATTCTCCCGCCTGGGATCCTGGTTTTAGATGCTTGTCCAGTGTACACTTAGATTTTGTTCTTTCCCAGAATAAAAGGCTGGAGAGAGAGAGAGAGAGAGAGAGAGACAGGTAGGGAGAGAGAGAGAACGAGAGACAGAGGGAAAAGTCAGCTTGGATTCTTACAGAAAACTTCCCTGTGCTTCTCCAGGATGATGAGTTTTAGAGAAACTCTTATCTCTCTCTCCTTTCTTACCTTCCTTCTGTCTCTCTCTCTCTCTCCCCGTCTCACATCCCCACCTGGGAACAGAAAACCAGCCACTGGCTGCTACAGTTCCAGCAGTTTTCATAGCAAGACAGGGGATGTGGTACCTGTTGTGAGGAGTGTGGGGGAAACACTCAGTTTTTATACATTGGCTGGAGGCAAACAACTCCTACTTAATCTTCAGAGCGGCGAAATGACCACTGAGCATCCAACGTCTCTCTGACTGACAGCAGAACCGGCTCCCAGGAATCAGACCCAGAGATTCAAAAGCAGCCTACTGCCCTCTGCAGGTCAGACCATTCATCTGTTCTCTGGCTGGGCTGAGCAGTTTTTTGTCATGGAAATGGCCACAGCCATCCTTTTGTCCACGTATTTGTTCATTCTTTTTCTTTTTTGGTGGCAAACATTTATTAAGCACCTGCCATGTGTTAGGTTTCTGTCCCGTGCAGGAAATTCGGTGGTGAGCAAGACAGACACGCCATCCTCGTTTCTCCCAAACTCAGAGTCTGGGGTGGGAGATGAGAAATCCAGCCGTTTTATTACTGTGTGATGCATGCTTGAATCGGGGAATGCCAGGGGCTGGGGGAGATCTGAGGGGGCCCCCTAACCTGCTGGTCAACGAAGTTCCTGGAGGAAGGGGCTTCTAAGCTTTGACTTCAAAGAACAGAGGCAATGTCCAGTGGTGAGGTGAGGGCTGGGGTTGATGGAGAGAGAAGAGGATTCCAGGCAGAGGGAATAACATGCTTACAGCCTGGAGGCTAAAAGCAGTGGTTCTACACGTGGTTGTGGGAATCATCTGTAGAATGTGTTCCCAGGGATCACATTTGACCTTCTGAAACAGAATCACCCAGGGGTAGTATCTGGGCAGGTGCCTTTTCAGTTTTTAAGGGGTGGGGGGGAACAGAGCCAAGGTTGAGATGGCCAGAAAAGAGAGCTTGTGTTTTTCAAAGGACTTTAGTTTTCTCTGGCCAGAGTGTGGAGCTGGGAGACACAATTTGAGAAATGAGTCTGCTTTTTTTTTTTTTTTTAAGGCAAGAGGAGCCAGGCTTCTGAAGGGCAGTCTCAGCTGAGTGTGGGAGTTTTGGACTGTGGGGCAGTTGGGGGGCTGTGGGAAAGAGGAGGCGGGGTTTGCATTTTAGAAAGATTCCTCTTTGCATGGCGGAGACGGCTGTGGGAGGGGATGAGTCAGGAGCCTGGGGGTCCAGGGCTGCAGAGATTCACAGGGAGATGATGGCTTCCTGAAGAAAGGAGGTGGCCACGTGGCCACAGGAGGAGCGGATAGAGATGCTTAGGATATAGGGTCCTGGAGATTTGAGTGTGATGGGATGTGGGACAGTGCAGGGAACACCTGCGCTTCCTTCTTAAGTAACTGGGAGAACAGAGATGCCATTTGAGCTGGAAAAATGTATTGGTGGGCCAAAAAGTTCGTTCGGGTTTTCTGTATCATCTAATGGAAAAAGCCCGAACGAATTTTGTGGCCAACCCAATAAAAGACAAAATTTAGCACCCAATTTTTTTTTCATTTCTTTTTATTAGTTGGAGGCTAAGTACTTTACAATATTGTAGTGGGTTTTGTCATACATTGACATGAATCGGCCATGGAGTTACATGTGTTCCCCATCCCGATCCCCGCTCCCACCTCCCTCTCCACGTGATCCCTCTGGGTCTTCCCAGTGCACCAGGTCCGAGCACTTATCTCATGCGTCCAACCTGGGCTGGTGATCTGTTTCACCCTAGATAACATACATGTTTCGATGCTGTTCTCTTGAAACATCCCACCCTAGTCTTCTCCCACAGAGTCCAGAAGTCTGTTCTATACATCTGTGTCTCTTTTTCTGTTTTGCATATAGGGTTATTATTACCATCTTTCTAAATTCCATATATATGTGTTAGTATACTGTAATGGTCTTTATCTTTCTGGTTTACTTCGCTCTGTATAATGGGCTCCTGTTTCATCCATCTCATTAGAACTGATTCAAATGAATTCTTTTTAATGGCTGAGTAATATTCAGCACCCAATTTTTAATACTTAGTTTATGTCAGATGTGAGGTTGGACAGGAGGATGATGGAAACTCTGGACACACTGAGTCCCCTTGCCACCCCCGTCCCCCTGCCACATACCTGCACATCAATTACTGGTCCACTGATGCTCTGATTATCCAACTATCCGCTAACTATGGATGTGAGTGTGACTGGGTGTGTATTAGGCAGAAGAAATGTGCATACAAAGTAGACGAAAACGTAGAATATTTATGAAAGTGTGGGGTGGAGAGGGCTTCTTGAAAATATGGGCAACCAGAGGGGGAAAGGGATAGGGAGTTTGCAATGGACATGTGCACATGGCTATACTTATATTTATTTATTTTTAATGGGTTGATGATTGCTTTACAATATTGGTTTGACTTCTGTTATACATCAGTGTGAATTAGCTACAGGTGTACATATGTCTCCTCCCTCTTGAAGCTCCCCCCCACTTCCCACCCTTTCCCACTCCTCCAGGTTGTTACAGAGCCTGGGTTTGAGTTCCCTGAGTCATACCGCAAATTTGCAAGTAAAAATAGGTGTTTTACATAAGTTACACACTGCTATATTTTAACTGGATAACCCACAAGGACCTACTGTGTAGCCAGGGAAATTTGCTCAGTGTTGTTTGGCAGCCTGGATGGGAGAGGAGTTTGGGGGAGAATGGATACACGTATCCATATGGCTGGGTCTCCTTACTGTCCACCAGAAACTATCACAACATTGTTAATCAGCTATACCCCAATACAAAATAAAAAGGTTTATTTAAAAAAAAAAGATAGGCAATGAATTAAGTGTGAAAAAAGGCACCATAAACAAAGTCAGAAGACAAATAGGAAGAAAAACCTTGCCATAGTCAAAGGTTACCATCTCTTCAATACAAAGAATATTTTCACATTAATAAGAAAGATATGATTTATCTCTTAGAACAAGGGGCTAAAGACGGAATAGAAATTCACTGAAGAGGAAATGCAAGTGACTGATAAATTTATGGAAAGATGTTCACCCTTCTGGGGAGTCTGGGAAATGCAAATCAAACTTCAGATTGACAAGGATGTAAAAGATATCAAATTCAGCTGAGAGTGCTGAGAGAATGACACTTCTAGTGTTTGTGGATAGTCTCATCATTTTCAATTTCTACTAAAAAAAAAAATGCATCTGAGTGTGGATCTCAGTCTGCGAACTGAGGGGCATGAAAAACACTTGTATTTATTTTCAACAAAATGACTTCATTTCCGATGCTACACCTCTCATGTTCCAGGTTGGGGAAAAAAAAATCCTAATTCTCATGGGGGTTTCTCTTCCTCACCCTCTGGGTCACGTCCAGAGGTGTGTTTATACTGTTCTGGTCTGTGGTTCCAGGGGCACTTGTAAAGCTCAAACTGCGAGGTCTTTCCCCTGCTTTGGGCTGAACACCAGCCTTCATTCTCTTTCTCTGCACCTGTCCTCTGTTTATAAGCAACCTTGAGAGCGAGCAGGTGGGCCTGGCACTTCAGACGCGTATCCTCAGAGGTACCCTCATCACCTCATCCCCGAGGAGTGTTGATTTGGTCTCCTCTAAGCTCTGCTCTCTGCTTTCCTGGGGGAGCAGCCCAGATACAGCTGCTTTTAAACTGACACTGTACTTTGTTTTCTGCATCCGTGACTCTGCCTCTGTTTTGTAAAGAAGTTCATTTGTACCCTTTTTTAGATTCCACATGTAAGTGATATCATATGATAGTTGCCTTTTTCTGTCTAAGTGTCCAAATATTTTAATCCTATGCCTTGAAAAAAGTTTTATTTAATAAGATTCATTTATTTATTTTAAGTTTATTTTGTTTTTGGCTACACTGCACAGCATATGGGATCTTAGTGTCCTGATCAAGGATTGAACTCACACCCACTGCAGTGGTAGTGCGCTGTCCCAACTATTGGAATGTCAGGGAAAATTCCCTAAGATTTATTTTTACTCCGACTCTAGGTTCCTAATATTTTTATACCTGTACATTTCACTTTACTTTTTTTTAAAATTGAGACATATGTTCCAGAAAATTCATGATTTTGAAGCATGTGTTTCAGTAGGGGTTTGTTTTCATCTTCACGAGGTTGTGCAGCCATCACCACTGTCTAATTCCAGGACATTTTCATAACTTGGTGTCCATTAGCGGTCACTCCTTGTTTACTACTTCCCTCAGCTTCTGACAGTTACTAATCTACTTTCTGTCCCTATGTGATGGTACAAAATATGCTCATTGAGGCTGTGTTTATCTTCTGGGTCACAAAAGTCTCCATTTTCTCATTTTTCAAATTCAAAACAAGCAAAACCAACAGCTGTAAGTGGAAATGTAAATTGGGCCCGCCATTATGGAAAATGGAGGGCCCTTAAAAATCTAAAAACAGAGTTACCATATGATACAGCAATCCCACTCCTGCCTGAGCATATATCCAGAAAAGATGAAGCTCTAATTTTAATATACATGCACCCCAGTACTCATAGCAGCACTGTTTATAATAGTCAAGACACGGAAATAAACCAAGTGCCCCCAAACGGATGACTGGCTTAAGAAGATGTGGTGCAACAGAATATTATTCAGCCATCAGAAAGAATAGAGTATTTTCATTTGTCGGAACATGGAGGGACCTAGAGATGATCATGCTAAGTGAA